GCCTAGCAGTGTATCTTCAATTTTTCCTACTTTACCAGCACATCTGCAAAAACTTGTTAGTTCATAGCTCCTTGATGTAGCTTCAATAGAATCTAGTCCCGAAAATAAGCAATTGCGTCAAAAACAAGATGAGGCACCTTTGAAACCCGTTCTATCTTGCCGACGAAACCGAAATCAAAATGCTGATAGACGAGGTTGCCAGAATGAGTGAGTGGCATTATATCAAACATCAAGCTATCTCGTTTCTAGGCTCTGAAGTACATTCTAGCCACTGTATCTGAAGGCTGCGCTTGCCATGACAACACACGTTGCCAACGGAAGTTGATAAATATTGTACAGAACTAACGCCACTGCAATCGTTCTTATGAATGGTTCATTTGGGGTACGTGTCCTGGAGTTTGTCCGTTGCATGCAGCATTGGTGCTTCAGTTTTGGTTCTGCCTGTAAATTGGTTAGAGTTCCATAACTCTGGGAAAATACTGGTGACTTCCCGTTTCCTTAACTACCTCTGTTTTATAATTTTAAGTTTAATTATTTCAACTTTTATATATTTTGTGGTAATCTACCAACACACACACAAGCACATATATGAAAATGGCGAGCAAATGTCGCGTTCCCTTTATATGTGTATTTGCACACACATTTCTAAAAGCTCCCAATACATACTACAAACCTTTTATGCCGCAATAGTTACCAAAGCAACCACAAATGAAACGAAAGATTTTCTTTAGATTATTTTTTTCTTTGCAGCCAAAGAGAATAAGAGACCCCCCGAAGCCCCAGGAACTCTTATTGCCTGCTTTGGACATAGAGCAGCCGAGTAAAGAAAATGCTTCGCCAACAACTCCTAAAACTTTATTCAATCAGAAAAAAGAAAGGTGCCAAAAAGGATACTGTACTGAGCAACTTGAGAAGAAGGTGAAAACGTTGCAACAAATTAAGCAAGCGTAGACTTTTGAAGAGCTTCAATGACTCCAGGGAAGTTGTGAAGGACGGGAGACTTCTGTGAGAAAAGGGACTTGAATTTTTCCAAGCCATTTTCTCCTCAGACATCTCGCAGCTGCTTAGCTGAGCAACCAAGAAAGAATGCTCCCATTCTCCTGAATCGCGAGCCTTTGCTTTGACTTTGCAAAGCGTGCAGCTGACATAGGGTGCATGCATGGAATAATTTCTTTCATAAACGAGAAGAGGCATTTGTTCGTTGGCGTAATCTAAATGTAGTTTCCATGTCATTTTTTTATCGTGGAACTGCAAACCGACGCATGCATGACGCGTATTCCATTGCCGTCTATGGCGGTTTCGCCAAGCCGGGACTACCACTTCAGAGGTTCTATGGAACCTCTTTCTTCGAACCCCGAGTCGCAGTGTTTTTAGCGGCCAGAAATTCGAGAAATTTAAATATATATAGACAAATTTTAGCTTTGCGAGCGTTATTGTCGCCCTAAATACTGCATTTTAAAGGAGCCCTCCAACACTATTCAACCTCCCATGTTTTATTCGTGGGTTGTGTAGACTGAAGTACAGACTAATGCAGCAAAAAACGGCACGTAGTCTGAAGTTATTCGACTAAGAAAATTGGCCATACAAGAAAAAAAAAATGCTGGCCCTCAACTCGATTTTTGCAGGGTCACTTGACCACATTTCACTCACCCATGACCTCAAAAGGCTGTCCCAAAGAAATAAGCTAGAAGCGCCTACACAGCAGAAGCTCGCACCCCATCATTGCTCGCTTTTTTTTATTTTCTTGTTTTCAAAGTCGCGATCTTGTTGCCACAGTACAAGCGTGGTGCCCGACGCCTGGCTTGCGAGAACATGAGCGGGAGCTACTGTTTCGAAGGGAGGTATTTTCTATTTTTTTTACAACATTCTAAGTCACTCTCTCCTCTTATTCTGAGAAAAGAACTTGTGGAACGACCAAGACAGTGAAGTGTTGTTGACCATTCGCACATTGTTTGTTGAGCCGCCCAACAAACAACAATGATGCACTGCACCCCTTCAACAGCACACGTGCGGAAAGAGGCAGCTCGCAAACTCTCAAAAGTAAAGGGAGAGAAGAAAATGAGAGAGGTCTTTCGTATATACATCCGGCTCGCGCAAGCCAAGAATCCAGTGGTGAAATGGCAGCCAGCGCCTCTGTCGTGCTTTGTAGTCACCGTGATCTTTTTTTTTGTTGTGGCCACGTTTGTTCAGGATTAGAATAAAATGCACAGAAAAGAAAAATTGCACAGATTAGTAACCTAACAGTTTTGATCCTACACCACGATTACTTCCAACGTTACATTTATCGAATGGTATGGTGGCAACACTCCGGCGTCACTTACGCCCGCAAAGATCTGGGGAGGGCCACTACGTGGTAATGCTGTCCGCAGCAATGTAGTGACTTTATTGTGTGTTTAAAATACTAAATCATTTGATATCCGCGCTTAGATCGACGCTAAAATCATCTACAGCTATCGGTCTATGCTAACCACAGATAAAAAATAGGTGCTTCAATAGTGTTGGATGGCCCCTTTAAACAATCGGACCAGCAAGCATTGCATACCAAAATCATATGTATTCATTCGAAATAAGCAAAAAGTGTGGGTCGGCAAGCTTGCCTTTGCGATATTCCTATATTTATTTTTTTATAACAAAGCTGCACTAAAAAGGTGTTCATTGTACAAATCCTGTAGTTTTCATTCATAAACAGCCAAGCGGATTGCTGTCCTAAACACGTCCGCATATGAACATTTTAAGGATAATCCTGAAAACAATGTTCTGGAAACATTTTCAGGATGCTGCCAAGCGGACGAGGACGTTTGTAGCTTTTGAGGACGAGCCTAAGATGTCAACTGTTGTCTGGGGACCATCGTACCATGTGGGCGAGGAGCTCAAAGCTCCCTTCCCTTTGCCCTACTGCAGTGTTTTGTCGAGTCTTTTGAATGTAAGCAGCGGGAGTGATGCAGCCCGCGGCTGACTGTTTTCTGCACATCGTCAGTATCGCTGGCCAGGAGTGAGGTTGAGACTTCGGGCGATGGACATGCCTGGGACCTGCACAACTGCCTGCAGTCCAACGCACTCGTGAGTGCTGGTCGCAACTGGAAGACATGTCGGTGCGAGTGACGGTTCGTCGCGCCGACGGTAGCGTTGCTGTTGCGGGACTGGTACTGGGGTGAAGTCGTCGAGCCGGACAAGGCAGCAGTGTCGACCAGAGGTGGTGTCGTGGTGCACAGATATTATTTAAGGACATGTGTTGCCCTTTATTGTTACAGCGTGTATAGCTCATTTCTTTCATGTTTTCATTTTCCGGATATGGTTTGAATTGTGGTTGGGGGAATGTGGGGGTGCTGAAACTTACTGTAAAGTTGTTTGAACTGCGTGGCGCACGTGTCTCGCGCAGAAGACGTATTTAAGGGTCACAACTATTGAACGGTAGGTGGTGTTGTGCTCGCGAGCATTTGTCACCACTATTACCATCATGGTAAGTGCGTGGCGCTGGTGGTGATGCCTGGCAGCAGGCCTGGGTGGCAGTGCTCAAGATATTAGTGGTCCTCTTTGACTGGTGGTGTTTGGTGCGAACGGCTGTCTCTCGCAGTGGAACCTCAGGGCACGGCACCGCGGGCTGTCTACCGGGGCCCTTGTGGTGAGTCAGGCGTTAGTGACACCGCCTTTTTTGCCATGTTGAGTGTTGTGTAAGGTTGTTTAGCGTGTGGATCATGATTGATGTTATACTAATTCGGCTGAAGATATCGTTGTTCTAAAAGTAGTTAAATGTGGGTTGTTTTGGTTCGTTCCGACTGTGTCTACTGTGTCCGTTCACTCAAAGAGCGTGGTGCTCACCACTTCGAGACCCCACAACATAATGTTGCATTGTCTATGCAAACAATATATTGTACTGCCTTACACGAAATCTTATGTTCTGTAAATTTCATTATTTTGTATTACTTTGTTTGCTCTTTTTACAGTTTATTTAATGCACCCCCCTCCCCACCGTAAGCACAATAGTTATAGCGCGAGAACAGAACCACAACAAAGAGACAAGAAGAACGTTGTTCTGTTGTCGTCGTTCTGTTCTCGCGCTATAACTACCGTGATGTCATACCAACTAGCCCAAACTGCCACACCCCACCGTAAGGCTTTGTGCAATTGAAGGTAAAATGAATTAAATGAAAAAAGACCACAGCATATCCACGGAGTGATTAGTGATGACTGGGCCGAGGCTTTGGAGGGTTTCATCGGTAAACCGTGAATCCTTCGCTTCTCTATCTGTCTGCCTCTTTGTGCGTCAGTCTATCAGTCTGTCCGCACCTGCTGAGTAAATCATCGAACTAGGCGATCACGTATGAGCTAGGAGGGGCAGACTAAGGCCACCATACCACTGCTTTGGGAGCTTCACACCTAAAAAATGTCATTCTATTCGAACTACATTAACACGTCGGATCCTGCTGGTGGCAAGTAATCATTTCGTTCACTTTTATTTCTTCACATAATAGTTACTTCAAAAATTATCCCCTATACTTTTCTTGGCAATGTTTATTCTCCTTATTAAACGCCCATTGTGACAGAAGGTGTGTAAATGTGGCTGGAAAGTCTGTTTATTCGTGTACTTCTTTGATTTCCTTTCCAATCGTATCGAGCTAAAAGTAATTATGACTTTTACGGGCTAACTAAACAAATCTTGGATGTAGAAATAATCATTCATTTCACATTTCACGAGCTCTAAAACAACTATTACAGAAATCATGTTACTCTTAAAATCAAATTCAGCCTGCCAAAACTGCACATGTTCTAATTTTCAACTTTGACCAGCACAACCACTTTACAGTGTACTAGAGTAACCACCGTCAGCGCAACGCTTACCAGGGTTACGAGAATTTGAAGAGTGCAGATTGTAGATTGGGAAAATTGTGTTTTAGAAATTTCCACTTGTTTTCTGGGGAAACAGCAGCAGGGTTGTACTTAAGATGACATGTCTTCAGTGTTACACAAGACAGAAAAGTGTAAATAAAGGTTAAGCTTACCTTTGTGCTTATTGAAATGTTCTTCCTGCTTTTCTCATCAGTTGATAAATGAAAAAGTGGTTCACTTTGATAATTTCCAGCAGACTGCTGAGCTGGGCTTCCATCTAGGAAATAACAGAGAAACCATGACTACAGGCAGCTGCCTCGGCCTACTGGAACTCCCAGAGTTGCTAGTCCAGGATATAACTGAGCAGCGCAGTCCATCAATGCACCCGAAGCTCTTCATTGGAGGCCGCAACCCCAGAATTGCAGAATAATGCTGGACAAGCCCATAGGATATAGTCAAGAGTGGCTTTAGTGGTACAGTACTGCCATAGATTTGTGCTATATGCTTTGGAATATATGCGGTGCATGATGACGGGCTTCGTGCATGTGATGCACGTTTGTAGCTGCCGCCATTAAGTGCACTGGGCCCGATTCACCCAGGACTGAGGCAGAGGTACTCCTGTGTTTGCGCTTGATAGTGCTGTTGTATCACTGCCGGATGCACCATCTGACGGAGACAATAGGCACGCTAGCGCCGAAGCGCTGTAAGGAACATCATGCTCGGCCGAGAACGGAAAGGAGACTCTTTATTCAGAGTGTGCGCGTAAGCACGTAGCAATGGTTACACAATACTATAGCCGTTGTGTGGCACTATACGACATATTTACAAGATTGAAACAAATTGGAGGTCCATGACTCCAAGATTAGTATTTTTGAATTTATGACATGAAATGCCAGACACCAAATTATCTCCCCATAGAAAGAAAATGGGACGTAAACTTGCGTACTTGTACAAGAGAACCCGGATGAATTATCCAGAACTAGCCGCACAGTGTATAATCACAGTTGTTTCGAACACTATGCTGCGGCAAAGCACTACAACTTTCAGATATAGTAACATGAGCAAGATAGACTAGTAAAAGTGCAATAAATCTTTGGTGCACATGATAATTTGGCATAATCGTAGAAAATGTTTTGCAGAAAATTGTAAAATAAAACAAGATTATACACTAGTTGTCACATGTAGTAATGTAGAAATATGCTCAAGGAACATAATCCTTGTAACGCGCTGGTTTTTCACAGCATCGCTTGGGACGAAGGCATGCATGCAGGAGAATAAGGTGAAGGATTCACAGACGGAGCCTTATCCCTCTCAGAAGATTTTGCGCCTTGGGGCTCACCTACATGCTCATCGTCAGAGAGCAAGTGCGGTAACGATTCTGGATTGTCTGTACATGACACATCCGTAACAGACACATCTTTCCCCCCGTCGAAACAATTTGCACTGCGGCTGGGCACATCAGCCATTTCTTGTGAAGGTGCCTGTAAGGTGGTTTGTGGAAGGGTCACTTACTGAGGCATTGCAGAAAAAGATGAAGGTGGGGAGTAATTCTGTTGCTTGAATGAAGAATTAGGCAGAGGAACTGAAGACTGCTGTGAAGTTGAGTTTTACTCGGCATGAACTAGTACGAGCTTTGAAACATTCCATACATTGCCATCACTCAGGCAGAATGAATACAGTACAAGTTGACTAATAATTATATATGAACCCTTGTACTGAATCTGCTTGCATGGAAGACAAACTTTAAACCTGTGGCCCACCTGTAGCTTAGAAAATTTAGCTCCATGCTTTAAATCAATGCGTTGCTTAGTTGCCTGTTGCTTATAGAACACTCGTGTTCTCGCAGAATCCAATGTTGGTGAAGGAGCAGAAGACGGGTGTAACCCTGCCGTGCCGATTCCAGAACGAGGCTGGCGATTATGTAAAAGTTTGCAGGTGAAAAGCCTGCAGTAGCTTGAGGCGTAAAGCGATCCGCGTCTAAGTACTCTGTAAAAGCATGTTTCAGTGGGCTGCATTCAAGTTGAGCGAGCTGAATTTGCTCTTTCAGAACTCGGCTGAAACGTTCACTTGGCCATCGGCATGTAGATAATAGTTCGATGAGCAAAGATGCTGAATGCCTTTTTGTGAGAGAAAAGTTTGAAATAGTTGCAACTTGAACTCAGGATTGTTGTCCGTAACAAGTGCCTCAGGAAGCCTTCCCTACTGAAAAGTGCCGTCAAGAATACAATTACCACTTCGGAAGTGACTGCATGAGTAAAACAAACTTCCGGCCACTTAGACTAGTAGTCAACTAATCGAATTGCAAATCTGCAGTCGTATGGAGCACGTTCAAGTGGACTCGCAATGTCCATGCCTAGCTTTCCCCTTGGTTTGCTCGGCCACAAAACAGGCTGAAGGGGTGCAAAAACAGGTTCAGCAGATTTATCAGCTGTTTAACATACAATGCAGTTGCAAACAGAATGTTTGACTGGACTATCCAAGCCAGGCCATCAGTATCTTTCTCTAAGCCATTGCTTCATCGTCCAACAACCGTGGCTTTCATGAGCCAATTGCACAAGTCTGTCACACATTGATGTAGGAATGATGACTCTATCTGCGCGAAAAACTAAGTTTTCTACAAAGAACAGCTCAGATCTGACTGCAATGTAGAGCAGTAGTTCTGGTGGCAGAGATTTCCCATCTGGCAAGCCATTAGCAATGAATTCAAGCACATGCTGCAATGTAGCATCTTCAGTCGCTGCTTGTAGGTAAGTCAGCTTTACTTATGCAAGGAGTAATGAGAGAGATTATTTCTTCTTGTAGTTCTGGACAGACTGGAAGCTGTAAAGGTAAACGAGAAAGTGCCTCCGCCACAACATTATGAGAACCCTTGTATTACTCTACAGTGAAGTTGTAGTACTACAACAGTCTGGCACACCAGCATGAAATGCGTAATGGCCGTCGGCCCTCTGACCCAGCAGAAAGTAATGTAACAAGAGCCTGATGAACAGTGCGTGATGTAAAATGTCTACCCCATAAGTACACATGCCATTTCTCACAAGCAAAGAGGCAGGCTAGGGCTTCACGCTCATCAGCAGAGTATTTGCGTTCAGCAGGAGACAAGGTTCTCAAACCAAAAGCAATTGTAATTAACTGGTCAGATTTTAGTTGTTGAAACACAGCACCCCATTCTATGATGAATGCATCAGTCGTAGTGACTATTGGAAGCTTCTCGTCAAAGAGCTGAATGAATGGGTTTGCAGCTAGTACTTCTTTGATATTGTTGAAAGCCGAATTGGCTTCCTTGGACCAATTGAATGTTTAGCCTTTATGCAACATGAATATCAGTGGTTCAGCAGCATCTGCATAATGTGGAATTAACTTTGAGTGATAGCCAGCGTGACCAATAAATGAATGCAAGGTTTTAAAATTCGCAGGTGCAGATGCAATAACAATAGCACGCAATTTGCATTCAAGAGGAGACAATTCTCTGGCACAGACATTGTGTCCTAAACATTGAATTCGCTTGATGGCAAAGACACATTTGTCGTTCAGTTTCTGTATTGCTTATGCGTCCAAGTACAACACAACTTGTAAATTAGCATCATGCTCAGCATGCGTTCAACCCTGGACCGAATTGTCACCTAAGTAGCAAAGTACTCCAAGGCAATCTTTTAAAATGTCTGAAATCATTTTCTGAAAAACTGCAGGGGCAGATGCAGGCCCAAAACAAATCCTATGGAATCTGAATAAACCGTCATGTGTTACAAAGGTAGTTAAGTCTTCACTTGATTCTGACAAGTTAACCTGATGGTACACTGATGCGAGATCTAGCTTTGAAAAGTAAACAGCACCTGTAAGTTGCTGGAGAAGTTCTTCGATGGGAAGTAGGGGAAACCCATCAACCACAATGGCTTTGTTTGGTTCACGCAAGTCCACACTAAGTCTTGAGGAACCATTCTTTTTTTTTTTTTTTTCACCAAGACCTGTGGAGACACAATCTGATGCTGAAACTCATACGATGATGCCACATTTTTCAATACGAGAAAGTTCATCGGAGACTTGTTATTGAAGCAAGAATGGCAATCTGCGATGTTTGGCAGCGACTGGCAGCACACCTGGACGGCGTTTCACTTCGTGCAATGTAGCCTTTCACCAGTTCGAGTTCCTGGGTGAAGAGTTCATGAAATTGAGAAAGAGCATTGGCAGGAATTCTTGGCGTTTCTGAACCTGACACTTGTGAGCAGGACTATGTTTCAATGGTTATGTTGAGGCCTCGAATGGCATCCAACCTAAGAAGTGAAGAACACTCTTTTGCTATTTAAAATGTGACAGCATCAGTGGTATCATTGTACAGAACGTTTGTAGACAAGTATCCGAGATGGGGAATGCATTTCTTCGAGTAGTCCTGAAGAAAACGTACGAGTCAAGTAGTCTGGTCCCCGAAATAGACTTCTTGAAATCTTGTAAGTTAAGGCATGATACGGTCGCACCAATGTCAACGAGGAAAGGAATGTTGACTCGACCAACTTGAACAGTAATCTTCAGCGCGCGAAGAATGGCTGAAATGTTCATCAATGTTTAGAACTGTATCTGTGTTTGTTAAAGCAGTGTCTTGTACTTCAGCTATGTTCTATTGAGACGTGCTGATATTTGATGAGCGCATATAGCATGGTAGCGACCTCGTTTCCTGTTGGCAGAACACGTGTGGTTGCGGGCTGGAAAATTAGAAAATTCGCATAGTGTTGATGAGATTTACATCTGTAGCAGACACCCGATTCAGATTGGTGTGGTCCATCCTGGTGGCTTGAAAACTTTGATGTAGTAGGACAGGAATCTCGACGCCCGCGGCTATGTTGGCTTTTTGCTGAGTTCTGTTGGGGAGGCCGTCCGATATACATTTGCTTTTTGCAGCCATCTTGTGGGCCTGGATGTAATCCTATCTTCTGAACCACTGCGTTAGTGAATTCCCGCATTTCTAGTTCGGTATGCTGCCCTTTCTTCGCAATTTGAATTGCATGTTGTAAAGTAAGGGTAGGACCCAGTTGCAACAGTCGTCTTCGCACTTTTTGTGCAGTTATTCCGCTGAGCAGCTGATCGTCAACCATGGATTTGGCGGATGCGCCGAAGTAGTATTTGCTCGCCATTGCCTCTAAAGCAGGAACGTTGTCAGTAACCGATTTCCCCGGTATTTCCTTGCGCATTTTGAAGTAGTGACGCTCTAGGACTTCATAGCTTGGAGCCTTGAAACAGTTCTCTAGCAGGGCGAGTGCTGCGATGAATTCATCCTGCGTGTCTTCGTCTCGAGTCCCGTCTCCGCTTTCCGCCTGGTCCTGTGCCTTTCGTAGTGTCTAGTAGACATTAAGGCCTTTAAGTAGTACACTCTTCTTGAGAGCAGGCCAGGCAGTGTCTCCGGCGTCGACATCGTCGTACCCCTGGAAGACACAGCACCATTTCGCCTAAGGCACGGGAGGTGTGCCCAGAGTTTGCAAAAACGGAGGAGGAGCAATCATGGAAGTCATGCTCGAATGTTAAGGCACTGAGGAGTCGCTGGTGCCAGCAAGCATTGACCAAACATGCAGGGGTGGCCGCAGTAGGCCTAGCGCATTTTGTGCAGCGTGCAAGTAGGGTGGTGCCCTGTAAACGCGCCTGAAAAGATGGTGATCCGCATAGAAAATCAGTGGAGGATGCCGAGGAAGT